AGCGTTCAAGACATTCAACCACTCCCAATAAACACTAACTCAGGTGATGATTTCAGTATACATTTAAAGTCAAGAAGCGACTATTTCACCCAGACCACCGTAGAGTTATTTCGCAGACTGAATTGTACGATGCCAAAAATCAATCTCAGGGTTGTCGAAATATGGTTTAGAAATTCGAAAATCTCCACACTCTGTTGTTCTGTTGGTTGCACATTTAGGCATTGGTTGTCGGCCTTGGTCGATTTCAAACTCACCATGTTTTCTGTGGCTCATTGCAGTGAAACGTCTATGATGTTAAGGACCTCACTTTAGGTAACAACCTTAATTTCGAAATCAACTGAACGCGCTTCTTAGTAAAATCAGCTTTCTTGAAAATGCTTGAAACATCATTATTGTCTACATCATGGTTGTTATATTACGGTGACGAAAGCATTCGTCTGTTTCTCTAATCGTTTGTCAGAAAGTAGATCGTTTTTCGCTCCTTGAACCTTCGAGTTACCTGAAGAGATAAGCCATTGTCTAACCACTGCGTATTTGTGCAGATTCGATGGAATAGGGTATCAGAATTCTGTAGAAAAGCCACACCGATAGAAGGCATAAAATCCTAAGACCAAAATCTATGTGCCCTACCACCGACTGAACTCGTGCTGAACCAACGGTAGGTATTGTCATCTGTCACGTAGCCTTCCAAAGACGCGAAATGCCAAACTGAGGTTCAATCGGGAATCTGCTTGCATCATAAATAAACATAATATTTGTAGGATACCACAAATGTCAAATGTAAATACATAAATAAATATTTTCTCCATGTAACGAGGCCCACCCAAACAGGCGTGATCGATCAAAGCATCGTGTCTCACTGTGTTGCATGTTCCAGCAGTTGCTGTGTGATCAGTCAATAGCTGCTTCACATTTTCCGGTTGGAAACGCGACGGGAGCCGGGTCACTTATCTTTAGCCCCTTGGATGCCAAACCCACACCAGAGGTACACGGCGCCGGGAGTCCACAGCATAGGAGTAATAACCAAACCAGATGGTAACGGGCCAGCAACGCACCAAACAGAGGTTCTAACACAAGAAAAACGCTTGGAAGCCGCAGACAAATGTGCGCTGAGGAAAATGTATTATTGACACTCGACAAAGCTTCGAACAATAGCACGCCACGCCGCCTCTAGGAAAGCGTTCGCGGAACTGTAGAAATGTTGCTTGTCAGGACTAATTCAACGATCGGATGTTCGTTGATACAATGAACAACATGGTTCGCAGACCACGTGTTCTTACAAACGGAACTAAGTTCGACCTTGATTAGTGAGGAGCAAGTCGTTCGGTTACTTACTGTTGTACTTTGATCTGAACAGCCTTCGGCTTTCTTCGATTGATCTCAACTGTGCACAGCACTTTATTACGCTTAATTGGCCTGAAAGGAGGAAATGAACATTCTGAAATCTTCATACAACGACTGCTTAGTTCGGACTGATAAATCAGGCAAACCGGAGGTCTCCTATCCCTAACCCCCCACTTTTCTGGTGATCACCGGCATCGGCACTACAGTGGTTTCAAATGGAAAGTGAGTTCTTCCTGCTTATCAGCCAACGAGGGCGAATGATTAGACTCCTCTCGAATCGAACCCAGACTCCTCATAATAATTGACAGCTTTGCACATATTTCTACTTCCTCTAGCAAGTCTCAACCACAAATGTAGCTTGGACAGACAGATACGACACAGGTTCCCGTAGTTAGCGAGTACCTACTTGACGTGATTGCGTCCATCTTGGCAGTCATATCCCCGAAAAGTACCACTTCACTCTTCAAATTATAATCGTCTATGAATTTGACCAAGTATGTGCCGACCGAAAAGCGTTCCACGGGCACACTGAAGTGATGGTTCGTTTTGTAATTAGTCACTTGAAACACCTTAAGGCTACTTGCTAAGATAAACTTACTCTAAAACTGTTCGCATAAAAATAAATGTATAAATGGGTATATTTTCCGACGAACGGGATACGTTCCCTTTTGTAGAACGATCATCTGTATGGTAAGTTTCGCAATTATTTCATGTATTAACTACATTCAATGTGAAAGGGTTATGCAAGTTGTTGTTGCGTATGTGATAAGTACCATTGTTTGATAGTTAATATAGTTACATGTTGTTCGGACCCGATTCTATGAGCTCGCTCGTAGATTGCTGAAGGTCGAAAAGTTTGACCACATTTGGCATGGAAAGAAAATTTTTTTAGTTAGTTTTAAGAATGGGCAGGCTCTCACAGGTCCTTAGTTGCAACGGTAGTTTATTTAACGGATGGGCGTACCTCACCAAGACGAATTTTAGGCGGATATTTTTCTTGGTCCTCTGTAAGGATTATAGACATTTCCCATTACGAGTGGGATAGTTTAAGCCGTTATGTACTGCGATGGTCGTACCATCTGATTAAACTCGCTAGTATATTATGTTGTAGAGAAGAGTGCTAATGATTTTCAGCCATCGAAGCCAAAGTGGATAGAGCCGGAAGTAAGATCATCGCTCCTCATTGGTAAGTGATGATGTGCTCCCCATGAGCATGTTGGCAAATGAGCGCTGGACTTTTGACAAAGCAATTCTATCTGTTTTGCTTAAGTGGCTATGCATGCATGATACACCAATGCACATGCAACAATTCGCATGCAACAATGCATGCATGATGCACAATGTGTTTAAATGTCTCAAGTCATGTTTGGGATAGTGAGAATGACCTAGTTATGTAGCTTGTTAGTTGTTACGCTTTCGCTACTTGATGTAGGATGTGCTCAGAGAATTTCAAGCTGCTCGAATATCGAATTCTCAGGTCCCGAACAGAATGCATCTTTGGGATGGGGGTGACAGTGTGAGTGATGGATCCTTCTGGTATAGTGTAGTTATGTCAGAGTATCTGAAATTCCTCTGCAAAATACCTCATTGATCTGCTTCTCCTCCATTTGTTTAGGAATGGTAAGTCCTAGGGTGTATCTTTTGAGCACAGTTCCAGATGGTCAGGTAGCAATGAGTAGACTAGTTTGATGTCATTCGCAGATGCAAATGGGTGCCCGTGTCTAACGTAATAACATATATCGTTTATGTAAATGAGGAAAGGTAAGGAGCCCAATACACCGCCCTGAACAACATCATTCGGTACAAATTGTCCTTCCTTTAGCGTCCATATTTCCCAGAGCTTTCAAGAAGTATGACCCTCCTCTTGAAGCGAGTCGGTTATTGTCCCAAGCTTCAAGGTACATTCCAGTAATTCATGCACCAATCCATGAAGATGCAGTCATATCGGTTATCCTGATGCTACTACGCCTTTTCTGTGTCAAATGCATTCACAGCGCTTTCAAGTTCCTCCTTAAGGGACTCAAGTTACTCCAAGGATCTCCCAAGATAGTTCCTACCGCTATGAAATTGCATTCAGCGGGGACGAATTTTCTGCTTTCACACTATCTGTTGAGTAACCAATCCCATATCAGCCAATTACATCCCGTTTTATGTGCTCCATGATATACTGCCGGCTGATCTGGGATTAGTCTTTCAAGGTGCCGTAACCATTTATGGGTATTCACCCCGCTGAATGCAATTCGTTAGCAGTAAGGACCGTCTTGAGAGTTTTGTGTTATAACAGTATTTCCTTAAGGAGGAATTTGCAAGCGTTATGAATGAAGTTGCCTGGGAAAAGGTATAGCATTCATCCTACTCGTAAAGCGCACAGTTGAGGGAAGCAGGCTTGTCTTCGCCCCGATCGAGGATGGGTGTGTCAAATATTCATACTTTGTTTACTCTTCGAGGATTACAATGTCTACGGCAGACCCAGTATTATCATCTTCCTGAATATCCAAGTTGCATTCGACTGCGTAGGCTGACTTAATTTATGATATTACCTTACAAAACGGAATTCCGGAGAAGTACTTTGCCATTATTTAGGCGTTATTACTCCCTACTTCAGACAGCATTAGAACCTACGACAAGATTTCTGCACCCTTCCCTATCGCTAGTGATGCGCAACAAGTATGCCTTATATCTCCCTTCTAAGATAAAATCATGATCAAGGACGTCCTGTTGATAAATGTATAAGGCTTTCAGGATTTTTGCATTGAGCTTGTTTTAGGTAATGGCGCAACCGGTTTTGGGTTACGCAGACGATATCGCTTTGCTCGATGACGACTGTCATGTATGCGATTTCCCACCTCCCACCAACAGCTATACATTCCCAGGGACTTTTGTCCAATTTGGGATGACAGATGGAAGAGGTCTCCAACGTTCTTGGATGTTTTCCGTTGAAGTGTCTCAAGTACAGCGAGGTTTTGCATCTGCCACAGATGCCATACCTACATGGAATATACCACGTGTGGCAGCACATAGGCATTAAGCACTTATAGGAAGATTCAGGGGTGAAATAGACCAAGCCTTCTGCGTAGAAGGCCCACTTGTTGATTACGGTTTTCGATGCGTTCTCGGTTTATTTCGAACAGCCGATATCATCCTGGACCAGTATCCCAAGTGCACGCTCCTGAGAGGCCTTCACAAGTAGCCAACTGTATGGCGAACTGATTGCTTACCGACTGACTGCTTGCTAGACTGACTAACTCAATGACGGACAGACAGATCGATCGACCGACGGGCTGACTGCTGCTGACTAACTGGCTGATGGATTGACTGAATAATCCAGTGATCGACCGATAACTGACTGACTAACTAGCCGACTAGACACAGCGCAACTGCCATTTAGTGGAACGGAAATCCACCGGCTGCGGTACTCTCATCAGACACGAATCTGGCATAAACAGTGTCTCCAGCTTTTAGACAAATCTCACTGAGTGTTGCCAACAACGGAAGTCATTTTCAGTTGCATACATAGTTCAGCGGTCTCATCGGAACTTGGTTTTTACGTTTTTCATCGCCGAGCAACAACAACAACAACACTTGCGTATAGACCCATGTGATGCCAGATTTATTCACTTTAATCTTATTTCACTCACATCCACTGCTCTGCTCAGGCTTCCTTATTTGAGCTTCTTCGGTGGGGTGGTTGCGGTGACCAAGAAACAATTCCTCAACATCAATGGGTTCAGCAACTGCTTTTTCGGTTGGGGAGGCGAAGATGACGATATGTTCTACCGGTTTCGGCACAAAGGATATTCGATATTTCGACATCCGCAAGAGTTATCACGATATCACATGCATTGGCATCAGCAAAGTGAAATAAACGACCACAGGTGAGTTGAGTGACTGCCTTCCTAATGTTGCTATTCATTAATCAGGTATTCCCATAAAAACTGGGATGCACAATTCTGTGTCACACAATTGGTGTGCCCGATAACCTAAGTAACGTATTCACCAGAATTCACACATGTATTCACAACCGATTGCCAGTGAATGGTCTGTTGCGCCTATGAATGGAACTGCACTAGCAGACAGACACTAAGTGAATGAACTGTGCGCTTCTGTAGAACAGATGCAGCGTACCTACAGGAACTGTGCAATATGCAGCCTCGATGTAAGTAATGTCGAACACAGCCGCCTCGGAACAGTTGCCACGGTTCATTTAATATCTGTTAAACAACACCGTCTATAATATTCACCGAATGTAGTCGGTTATGCACAGTCGTCCATCAGTCAAATTGTAACGTATGTCGTGCATGTGTTCGGTTAATCGGACTCCTTTCTTCGTCTTCTTCCTGATAACCAAATTTTATTCTGCAACGGTCAGTAGTGAACGTGTACCAGCGATTGGCGATCTGGCACTTCCAGTCGTTAGTAGTGTGCTAATTGTCATTTTGACTGAGAACCGGAATCTAATGTAGGTCATCCCTGCTTTTGAAAAGGCAGATGGTATAGTGGAATGAGAAGAGATTTATTAGACCAAACACCAGACAATATTTGCTAAAAGCAGAGTAGATGGTGAGAGATAATTGTTATGAGAAATTTGGAAAGCGCTCTGTAAATAAATAAATAACGTTTTATTCTCGTCCATGCGGGGAGTCACTTGCGTCGTAATATCCTATTTATTCCCAGGTTACAGCTTTCTCAACATTTCAAACTCTGTGTTCCAAGCCCCTACTCCCCACACACTAATGGACTGTTCCCACTTTTTGTCAGGATGAAGGTGCTAGAGAAGTCACCGACACGTTTCAACTCAGACGGTTACTTGCAAACCAAGTACACAGTCACTTCCGCTAACACGATGCATGCTGGATTAATTCATTGGATTTCAGTGGACTTGGATGAGCAACTTATGGTTAGTTCTTCGACGAATTGAACAAAAAGGAAACCAATCCGTTGTTACAACATACTCCTCCCATTGAATAATTCACTGCACACAAGTTAAATATTAACTCATTGACATTTGTATGTCAAATTATGGAGCCTAAGTAATCACTACGTGTAGAAATTCATCACGTTTAGACTTACTCAGACAACCATCCTACGCGCAGAAAAACACTGTACGCGCGTTTCATCCATTCGGGAATCGTCAGCACTGCACATTCCATCGGACCCTGGTAGGGCTCTAACCCGTAGCTTAACTGTTGCCAGTCCGTGGTTGAGACCACTATGCTGCAAGGGGATGGTAACGACCATCGTGAATAACTTACTAGATGTGATATAGCGCCACTCACTATCCACTGACTTACACGTTACCACCGTGCAGAGGACAGGGTAGCCTCCTCACCAAGCGACGAGCTTACCAACCTTAAGCCGCCAGTTAACGTATGGCATTTTAAGCAGTCTGATCTGCGTACTGATCACAGAGGAGTATGTACCAAGTTGCCTATGTAATGATATTCGACAGTAACTCAGTTACGGTTCATTAGGAACCTTCACTGTCGAAGCCCCGACGGAATCACTGCCCAGCTTGGCTGTATAAAGGATTGAGAAGAACAGTGGCAAATTCCGTGTCTGTATACTTGGTTGATTCGAATCACTGGAGTGATGCACACGGTGCGTTCCATCTCATTTACCGCGTACCCAAATATCACACACGAGGGTTTAGATGTCACCTAATGGCAGCAGGCGAAGCCATTGCCACTCGGCTTCTAACCCTGACATAAATAATTCGTCCGAGCACTCACCCTATCCTTGCTCCCCGTAACGCTCACACGCTGTGTTGCTACACACACACACACACACACACACACACACACACATGCATACTTGATCGCTGTGGAACCAATCACCTAGCTTGGGCACTTAGTCCATCTAGCGTTCGGAACATGTATCCCTAAATTTTGTTTACGTTTCCATCTCATTCATCCGTGGTGTAGTAGCCTGATGTAGAATCACAAAAAACAAGAGCTTCTTTGCTAACACTTTTTATGAGGCATAAAGAGCGGCTGCAGAAGCGAATAGGTCAGTGTGGCCTCAGGTTATAGGTAGATATCAATATGGCAAGACACCGGATTAGCCAGCTTTTACTTGATGCGTTGACACTCCTTTCTCCGAAGGAAACGCATACTACAAACAAACATCACGCAGTGACCATTCCAATCTCAATTTTGAACCGCAGAACCTGTGCACTTGTGCGACCCTAACTTTCTGTACTGCGACGGTCCTGGAAGAATGACTTGATCACGTGTTCAGATGCTTGCTGATTCACTCTCATTTGCCGCCCCTTCCTCCACAGCTTTGTGTTTTCCCGCTACCGGGGAAGGCCCAGTTGATTCAACTACACGCGGCCAGCCGCGTCAGCAGTTTGGTTGCGGCCATTTCTGAACTCAACAGCGCCTCAGTAACCCGAGGATGCTTGTGTTTGGCGTTATGTATAACGCCAGCGCAGTGAGCAAATTCCGTGGCTTGAATAGCCTCCGGTGAAGCGTGCCCATCTCAGCACACTAGTGTTGTAACCCAATATTACCTAACACGGAATGACGGCATCCACCTGCATGGCACTATCAATGTGAACTGTGCCCCGTGCTCGCATACACACACACACACACACACACGTGTACTTTCGTTGTATCCGCTGCGCACAGAATCTAACAACCGATTAAATTCGGGCACCTTGTCTCCTCTGCCCTTTGTTACGCATTGTTTCGATGCATGCGTTTGACGCATCGATTGATGCGTTCACCCTGCAGAACAATTGGTACATCAACCACTGCAGCTCAGCCTTGGTTGGAATTCGGCGATGGAACAGGCTGCTTCACACCTTACACGGCTGGTGTCGAAACTATGTGAGCCTACTTCGCTTTGTACATGCTGAACTCGTGTAGGATAGTTCAGGAGAAAAGAACTGACACGGGACTAGCGGAGAAAAATCCCGCGCAAACTGAAAGTGCTTACGTAGTCAGGATGGGCACCTACTTAAGCATGGAGTTCTCGGTTGACACCCCAACGTCCCAGATTAGCGTTGTGGTTTGGCTATTGTAGTGGCGCGGATGACAAGAGTCACAGGCGGAACAGACAGACTGCAGAAATTAAGGTAGGGGAAAACTACGAAAGGACCAGTGACGAAGTTTGACACCGCAACTCCAGACCTAATGAACAAGCTGGAAATGGTCTACGCGCGACACACGACATCAGGCCAAGAGCGAGCAGAGCGATAGATCTAGTGGTGAAAAGCCCGATTTTCCAGTAAGATACGCCTTTGGTCATGCGTTCAGGAAAACCCCAAGGACAGCGACGCCAGGTTGAGCAAGCAAGTCAAGAGCATTAGCAAAATCCACCTTAGTCAGAATACGACGATCGAAAGTGAAGATACTAGGACGACTCGACCGAAAAGGACCTCACGGCCTGACTTGAATCGGGGCATGTATGTGACACCGAACAAGAAGACCTACGATGCGCATTGGGTTGGAATTATCCTCTATATGTGGATCCGTGCGTGTTAGCCTGGGAACCTGTCGTTCGTTGACCATAAAGACAGTACGTCTGTGCCGCCTCGCTCTCGCTACGCTATGTCTGCCAAAAGTGTGCAAATACAGTATGTTCCAAAAAAGGGTCCGCTTTTCCTCAGTTCCTCGGTGAACAAGGTACACGCCTTGTAGTGACACGGGAGTGCACTAAAGTGCCAACTGTCAAATCATAGATGTTGGTCTCTCAAAGTTTCGCACATCCGTCACAGGGGTATGACTAGCTGCAGTGATGGCAGGATGCCAGGCCACAGCGCCTGCATCCTCGGTACTGGTGTGCTGACATTGGATGGACAAATAAACTAAGACCGACATGAGTTGCCACACCGATTTTGGAATGCCAGGCCAGCATGCCAATATCGTCCATCCTTACAACGGTGGCTGGGAACAACCCGCACGACGTGAATGAGAAATGGATTCGCCGCAATGAACGGTCTTGGAAGGATCGATGGATACTTGCTGTTAGGCAGATTAGTAAGCTAACCACAGCGATCCTTGTGTTCGCTATGTTAGCAACAGAGAACGAGCATACTCTGCGATTGAAGTCTGGTAACGTGCCTGTGGATCAGTGCGTGCTCCTTCTGCGACCCTTTGGTGAGTGACAAAAAACGCGGTAGAAACCGTTTGATGCTACAACGCTACAAACTACATATTGAAGTCCGTTGAGAAGCGGAACTTTCAGGAAATAGTAAAGAAATTCGACAACACTGGGAGCATGCGCAAAGCCAAAGGAACCAGGCGTCCCCGTACCGCCCCGGATGAGGTGTAAGCTTGCGCTACCCCTACCACTACGACAACAACTACGAATGCTACTAATAGTGGTATTACTACTACCACTTCGACTACTGCTAGGACTACTACTACGACTACTACTGCGACTACTACTACGACTACTACTACGTCTACTACTACGACTATTACTACGACTACTTCTACGATTAACACTTCGACTACCATTACGCCTACTAACACGATTACTAACTACTACGACTACTACTTCGCTAATACTCCGACTACCACTACGAATACTACTAATAATTATCCAACCTACTAATACTATTGATACTACTACTACTACTACGACTACTACTCCGAATACTACAACAACCACTACTAAGACTACTGCTAACACCACTACCACAACGTCTACTACGGCTAATACGACTGCTACGAATGGCACAACTACTACGACTGCTACGAATACTACGACTATTAGGACTACTATGACTAACTACAACTAAGGCTACGACTACTAGGACAACGACTACTATTACTACTACTATTATTGCTACCAATACTACTACTACTACTACTACTACTACTACCACTACTACTACTACCACTGCTACTACTACAACTACTACTGCTACTACGGATACCACTTCGCAGATACTACGACTACTACTACGACTACTACTACTGATGCCCCAACCTACTAATACTACTGACACTACTACTACTACGACTACTACTACTACGACTACTACTCCGAATGCGACTACGACTACTATTAAAACTACTGCCAACACCACTACTACAACTTCTACTACGGCTAATACGACTGCTACGAATACTATGCGTATTAGGACTACTATGACTAAGTACAACTAAGGCTACGACTACTAAGACTACGACTACTATTACTACTACTACTATTTCTACCATCACTACTACTACTGCTACTACTACGACTACGACTTCAACGACTACGATTACTACGACAACGACTACCACGACTACTACGACCACGATTACTTCGACTACGATTACTCGATTGGTATGACTACGACTACGACTAGTACCACTTCTACGAATACGACTACTATGACTTCTACGACTACTACGGCTACAACTTCTGCGGCTGCTACGACAACAACTACTACCTTCTACTGCTACGAATGCGACTACGACCAATACTACGACAACTTCTTCGACTACGACTACGACTAGAACCACGAATACGACTACGACTACGTCCACGAATAAGACTACTGCGACTGCTACCATTACCGCGGCTACTACGATTTCTACGACTACTATGACCGCAATTACTACGACTTCAGCTACGACAAAGACTAGTACGACTACCACTAATACGAACACGACTACTGCGACTACCACTGCTACGACTACTACGACTACGACAACGATGACTACAATTTTTACGTATACGACTACCACTACTAGGACTACGATTACTCCGACTACGATTACTACGACTACGACTGCTACGACTACTACTACGACAACAACGAGTATTACGACTACGACTACTACGACTGCGAGTACTACGATTACTATAACTACGACTACAACTACGACTACTAAGTCTACAGTTACTACTACTAAAACTAATGCGTCTACGTCTACTGCGACTAGGACTACCACGATATTACGATTGTGATTGCTA